ATTATTATTATTATACTATCTCGTTCGAGATAGAATCGAACAAATTCGCAAATACTTTGATCGATTTGATACTTAGTTTTAAGTATTAGCACTTCGCACAATCGCGATTTTCTCAATTAGAAATATGAATGAATTGAAAATATTGCAAGAAAATGCATAACATTTATTGCATTATTTATTTCAATTCTATTTTATATTAATTGAAATTAAAAATGCGACGTGTTATTAGGTCATCGATAATTATCTGCTTGGACATTTATTTAATTGTTCTCGTAGATATGTCAATGAACTCTAAGTTCATTGATGGTCCACGAGCTTGAATAACTTAAAGGGAAAATGTAAATTAATCTTGTAATAATCAAGAATTAGAATTATYAAACACACAAAGTAGGAGTTAACTTGCAATAAAAGTATGTGAGATCTTATCTTGCTCACCACGTAGAAAATATGTCCAATGTAGTTTTCAGGAATGAAGAAAGAAGAGGCTAAATGCCGAAGAGGCTAAATGCCGAAGAGGCTAAATGCCGAAGAGGCTTATTGCTGAAGAGGCCCCCACAAATTTGTGGTATCAAGTGGGCAACAATAAGTTTGAACTTTTTGAAAATAGCTCTTTAGTTATATTTTATATTCTATTGCATAATTTTGTTGTTGCTCGTCATTAATTTGTGGTTGTAATTGGAGATGATGGACCATTCCATCTCCTTGGGACACCAAATTTGTGTCCGTCAAAATCGTCATAAAGATGCATATGTTTTTAGTTAGAGTCAGAAATATTTAAATTTTTGTGTTATTAAATTTTAAAGCCTAAATAACGTTCGGTAGTTATTACAATAATATTTTTTTTCTTGTCTCGTCTTTAAGATTTTTCACTGTAATTGTATTTTATTTAATTTGCAATTTACCTTTATATATTTATAACGCATAGTTTAAAAGTATTTTATAATAATTAATAGATATTGTGTTTTTGTTAATAACTTAATRTTTTGACTTTTCCTATTTCTTTATTATTACATTTTATAATCTWAAATCGCGCTTGTAAATTTAATTTTCTTGCAACGGTAAATAAAGATTTGATCTAAAGTAAATATAGAATTCAATTGAAAAGTGCATCTGCGAATTAGACGATTTATATGTYAGGCTATTCTATCACTTGATTTTATGATTAACATAGTTTGCTTTTTGTTACAGGTGATCATCGTTGGAATAAACATCAACCTTGTTTGATTGACTTTTAATAGAGTTTTTTTAAATGACTGCATTTTTAAATAATTGTATATATGCATTTCTGAAGGCACACACATAAATAGAAAATATTAATTATAATTATTATTATATATAT